AGGCACCCCTTGTAGCCACATTATATCACCTTTCACCCTTCAAATATGCAATCCTTTTTTGATAAACCGTTTTGAGCCTCGTCTAACGATATACCTTTCATTTTTCAACCCATATCTACCTAACCTTGGGATGGGATGGTGTGCAACTTATGCAATTTTCAATTTTAAAAAGCTTGAGTGATTTCAAAAGATCAAAATAGCAAAAAATAAATAAATAAAAGTGTACAAAAGGGCAAGTGTTTCAATGTCTTTGACATGAACATGTCTTTGATATGAACACTTCTCAAATTGTGTTTATTATCGAGTGCTCGGTACCATGCCTGAGAAACATGAATGCCAAGTGAGTGATAGACCGCATGATCGAGATTGCCCGCACTAATAAAAATAAAATAAGTAAAGAAAAGGAGCTAAAAAAGAGTAGAAAGCCTCAAGCATAAAAATACAAAGATTCAAAAGCAAGGTTGCACACCTTGGGGCTTATCTAGGTCTTGAGCTTTTATCCTTTTCTTCTTCAACCTTTAGCCTAGAAACGTTACAACCCTTCAAAAGACCTTTTTGAGGTATACACACACTTGTGTGAGGTTCGACTAGAGCTATGTTCGGCGTGATTCCTAAAGGATATGTAGGCAATCTCACATCGAGGTGCGGCTGTAATAAAAAATGCATTCATATTTACATTCATAAATGATCATATCAAGGGATCCAATGCTCATCCCTTTTCATTTAGAGCTAGACTTGGGGGTTTGATCCCTACATCATTAGTTACCTAGCCTAAGAGTCACCATTTTGAAATAATATCTTTTTCCACACACTTAGCCCTTGCGGCCTAACTTTAGTATCACTATCACACACATCACAAATACATGACCAAATAGTCCTTCCCTTAGGAACCCTTTGTCATGAAATCTTAACACAACGCTGAAGCATGCCTTGTCATATCAAAATAACTCATCACTTGTAATCGTTATCGCATCACAAAGTATGAAGTACTTAGCCTCCGCGCCTAAGTTACATGAATACTTTCATTATCAAGTCAACTAGGATAGTCTAAGATGTTACAATCCTTTTACTATGAGAGACAACATTAACGGATTAAGCTCATTCAACATGCACCTTCAAAACAATTTCGCTTCTCTCTTTTTCCGTGTTTTTCTTTTTCGGGAGAAAATCAGTACCCTCCACAAAAATGACAGAAAATTCTTGCCTTTTGCATTTTCGAGTCATACGATCACATTACGATGCACACACGAGTCATGTACACGTTGAGTCATGTCGTGTCATATCACCTTGATTTGAGTCTAACACATGTGTCAAACACTTTGAGTCGAGTCAACCTCAAGTCAGTCAATCATAGAGAGTCAAGTTCATACCTTGAGTCACGACAAGTCATTGAGTCAACAATAAGTCTTAGGTCAACCCTAAAGAAAGATAAGAAAAGTCCTATAGTCAAAGATATAAATGCAGGTGCGTCCCAGCAAGGAGAACATTCCCGAATTTTTTCGAAAAAACCGCGAATATGACACAGGAGATTCCTCCAAGATAAGAGGAGTTACATAGATTAGTAAATTAGAGATAAAGAGGTTTAATTTACAAAGATTTGAGCATATTTGGTTGAAAGGAAACGACCAAGTTCAAAGTTCGAAGCAAAACCAAGCAACAGTGGCAGCAAGAGCAGAATAGGGAAGACCTGACTCCATCGCCAGACGACAAGGCTGTCGTCTTGAAACAACATCTATTGTTTGGCGACAGAGTTCAGTGCCTGGCGCTAGATCCCAGCGTCTGGCGACAGAGCCAATTCTTGGCTCCAGCAATATTTCAGCAGCGACAGAGCTTGAAGCCTCTCAGAACGGTTATTTCGACCTCATACAGCAATTTCAGGTTCCTTGGTACGCTAGTTAGCCCCTATAAGCAAATTGACATGATTAGTAGTCGGCTCGATTACAATCGTAGTAAGTGATTGACGTGAGAAAAAATCGTCTCACTTAGCTTAAGCGCCTAAAACACTGGCTCATTACAAGCAGCAACATATCGGTTTAAAAGCAAGCACGTAAACGACAATATTTCCAAATATGGATTGTCGCGCATTCTTCTTAAACGACAATATTTCCAAATATGGATTGTCGCGCATTCTTCTTAAACAACAATTTTTCCAAAATTAGATTGTCATCCCCAACTGACAATATTTCCAAATATGGATTGTCGCGCATCTTCTTCAACGTCAATTTTTCCAAGAATGGATTGTCATCTCTGGCAAAGTTTCCAAGCGTGGATTTTCATGATCCTTCTTTGTTTGGCAATTTTTTCCAAGTTCGGATTGTCATCGCTGGCAAGTTTTTCGAGATTGGATTGTCATACACCCAGTTGCCTATGGAAAAATTTCCCAAAGGATTGTTGTAGGTCTCTATTCATCATAAATTTCGGCAAAGGTTCCTCAACGTGGATTGTCATTCATTTCAGCAAGTGGCAAATTTTCCCAAAGTGGATTGTCGGTCGACTCTTTTTTGCAAATGTTCCAAGACGCGGATTGTCAATAGTGGCAATATTTTCCTAAAAGGATTGTCGCATAGCGTTGGCAAATTTCCAAGGTCGATTGCTTTCAAGAGTTATATTCCAAGATGCGGATTGTCGATCGTAGCAAGGTTCTTATGACAGATTGTTACGAAGCATTGGCAACTTTTCCCAAAAATGGATTTTGAAAATTTTTCGAGATACAGATTTTCGCTTCATCGTGGCAACATTTCCAAGGATGGATTGTTACGAATCATTGACAACTTTCCCTAAATCGGATTATCATACATCATATAAGAGTTGTGTTGGAAACTATTCCCAAAGAAAAGAGGATTGTCATCACAGCAAAAGCACTGACATACTGGTTCACAAGCAGCAAAGCCCCGACGCACTGGCATAACAACATTAAGGATCAATAAGCAGTGGTCTTTTCGAAGACTTTCACAGCGGAAATTGGAGGCAATTATAGCGTAGCAATCTTCAGGCGGTATTCTCTAGCTTGCGGAAGATCGTCGAAACAAACAACAAGATGGCATTCCCTAGCTTGCGGCAGATGCAGCAACAAATCGGTTACCTCCAGAGATGTATGCTCGACGGTGCAACATACGCATTTCTTAACTCTGATATCTATTTAATTAACGCTAGTTTGGAGGTATCGGCGTTACAAGAATGATTTAGGATCGCAGAACGTTCTGAATCATTCTCCGTCCCTATCGCTACTTTGACTTTTGTTTTCGAAACTTGCGTTTCTCCGAACTCAGTCAAAGTGGGGGCTTCTGTAGACACCCATTTGTGTCTCCCCAAAACCAAACCCGGTGATGAGTACCTCTCACATCGAATCATAATCGAATGAAGTGAAAGTGTGGAAAGTCTAGTGTTGCGGATAGTTTTATTTCTTTTCTTTCTCTTTGTTTTCGAAAACCTATTTTTAAGAAAACAGCCAATCCAGTTTGGTTTGTTCCATAGAAATGGTCCAATAATGGTGTAGTTGGGTCAAGTTCGAAAAGAGATTTCCAACGATATATTATAAGCCCAATTTCGATGAATAATGAGGAAGTTATGGCCAAATTACTAAACTGGGCCCGGTTTGATATTTATATATGGCCCAATGATCTAGTGGAGGGCCTAATATTAATTTATCATTCCTAATGCAATTAGAATTGATTATAGTCTTCTAGATTCTTCTAGAAGGTTCTTTTCATTCCTAATTTAATAATCGTTGATAAATTTACTTTAGTTGACTTTTTAGAGTTTTAATCAGAATAAAAGAAGTGTTTTTAAGGAAAATACAATTTTGCCCTCTCGTACGGTTAAATTTTATCAAAATAAGAAAACACGTGGAAAACTGGATTCCAACGCCTAGCGACAAGACCGACGCCTGGCGCCAGAGTCCAATGCTTGGCGCTAGAGTCTAGCGTCCGGCGCTACGTCTGGCGTCTGGCGCCAGATCCTGTGGTTTGCACTGCAGTCATGTTTTATTCTTTTCGAAACTCTGATTCGTTTTTTATCATATCCGGCTGATTTTCTCTATAAATAGCCTCCTAAAACCTCCGTTTTCGATCATCAACTCTCTAGTTTTTTAATTCTCTTCTCTCTCTAAGCTAAAGCTTACTCTCTCTCTCTCTCTTTTCTAAACTAGCCTTTTGCAAACACAATTTTGCATTCACAAGATCTAGAAACACCTAGCCAAGTTCGAAGTTGCCTTCGCCCTAAACGTGAAAGGTTTTAATTTCTGAGGGTTTGGTCCCAAATATCTATTTCAATTATTTAATTTAATTGTTGATTTTATTATTTTCCTTGAAGTTACTAACGTGTGTATTTTGTTATTAGAAAGAGGTACGAGGTATCCAAGTAAGTGCTTTAATTATTTGCATTGTTAATTATGAGATAGAAATCACGTCTAGATTGTTATTATGATTCCTAATGTCATGTTAGGGCGTTTTGATCTTCCTAGTATCATGTTTAGGAAAAAGGTTATAATATCAAATATGACAATTGTTATTCCTGCGATGCTTCTTTTTCTCTTTCTAATGTTCATGTTAGTATCATGTTAGGGCTAAAGCTTTGATTTTTATTGCTTAGTGACATGCTAGGGTTTGTTATTAGTCTTGTTAGTATCATGCCTAGGATTAGGGGTGTACAAAAACTGGACCGGACCTGAAACCGGACCTGAACCGACCTGATCCGGACCGGACCTGACCTGGACCTGTTGATTCAGGTCCGGTCCCGGTCCTTAAAAATCAAGGTTCCCGGTTCCGGTCCGGACCCGGTCTAAACCCGGGGTTTTCAGGTCCGGACCTGAAACCCGGAAAAATTGTATTTTAAAAAAAAAAAAAAAAAAAAAATTCAAAAATCAAAATAACGCTGCTGCTTGAGTGAAGCTTCAGTTCTCTTTCATTTCATTCTAACCCTAACAAACAGGCTGTGTCCCCCTCTCCCTCACGCTCACTGTCTCCAGTCTCAGCCCAACGCGACAACGCCCACCACCGACACCTCCTGCCTTCCTCACTCTCTCAGGCGAAGCCCAGGCGCCCACCGACCACCGCATGAGACAGCTACTGCGCGATTTTCCATTTCTCCGGTAAGTTATTTTTTTTTTTAATGTAAATCTAAATTATCTAATTATGTTTGGGTATTTTGTATTCGAAATAATGAATTAAGTGTTAGAATTTATATGTTTATTCATGTTTCAATTGCTTATAATGATTATTTGATGTTTGCATGTTGAATTTCTTTTTTTTACTTCAATGTTTTCGAATTTATGTTTTTCTTTTTTGGTTTATTTTCGAATTTCTTTCGAATTTATGTTTTTTTTTTTGGTTTTTTTTTAGTTTAAAGTTTAGGGTTTTAGGGTTTAATGTTTAGAATTGATAACAATTATGGTTTATCTTCGAATTTATGTTTTTTTTTTGGTTTTTTTTAGTTTAAAGTTTAGGGTTTTAGGGTTTAATAAAATCAGAAGAGCAGAGAAAGTAGTGATTAGATTGTAAACATCTAGTAGTCTAGTGTTTATCTAGTACTTTGCATTGACCTTTGGCATGGCTTCAAATTGAATAGTTGATTTTATGCATTCGGATGCATAAATTCTATGTTATTAGTCATTATATAAGTGTTGTTGCATAAACTTATCATTGCAGAAAAATGCACTAGTTGAGAAATAGCAGATCTATAAATATTGGTCTGAATTCCTTACAATTTAGCACCAATTCTTCAGGAGTTTGAGTAAATTCTGACATATAATATGGGAACATGAATAATGTCTGAATTTCTATGTTATTTCTATGTTCGGTGTCACCTAAATTTATCATTGCAGTTATGGGGAAGAAATGCGAAGGCTGTAAAATTGCGGAGAATTATAATTATTGGTCTGAACTTCCTGCAACAAAACACCAATTCTTCAAGGTCATGTATGGCGATTTTGAGCACCAAATGGTAGGAAAATATGTTATAAAAGCAACTGCACTTATATTATTAATATATATTAGCTCACTTGATTGAATTTTTTGGTGAACATTTCTTGCAGAATATTCCTCAGAAGTTCATGGAGTGTTTCAAGGAGAAACTCTCCCCGTGGTGTACACTTATAGCGCCAAGTAAACACAAATGGAAAATCAGACTCTCGAGTACATATGATGAAAGGCCATTGGTGTTTACAGATGGATGGAAACAGTTTGTTCGTGACAATGGAGTGGAAACAAATGACTTCTTAGTGTTTCGTTTTGTTGGAGACTCCTCGTTTGAGGTGTTAGTGTTTGACAAGAGTGGTTGCGAGAAAGAGGGTTGTCACTTTTCCATTAATTCCAATTCAATCTCAAGAAGATTCTCTTGTACAAGTAATCTCCACATCAACCATGGTAGTGTGGCTAAAGAAGAAATTGAGATTTGTGACTCATCATCAGAGGATTATTCTTTGTGGAAGGAAGACGAAGAAGAGACTGAGGATGTAAGTCATGTAATAACGGAAGAAAAGAGGGAGAGAAGAGGAAGCTCAAGTGAAGGTAATACAAACTAGTCATTCCTCATTAGAGTTTGTCTATAATTTGAATTCATATATGTATTACTGTATTATAATTTGATGGCCATGATGCAGGAAAATTTCCTCAAAGCCAAAAGTACTTCATATCGAATAGGCGGGATCTTAAACCTGGAGAAAAGAAAAGGGCTTCCAAGATGGCAGAGTGTTATAGGCGCAGCATGAAGGATAATAAGAGAGTGTTTCCTGTGTTTCAGATAGCCAAAAGTACTTCATATCGAATTTATGTTTTTTTTTTTGGTATTTTTGGTGTTTGAGAATTGGGACTTTATACTTTTATAGACTTTATGTAGTTTTGTACTTTTGTGATTAATAATTTTGGTTTGTATGTAGTTATTTAATTATGCAACAGGTCTAAAAATCACAAAACAGGTCCATACGCAGGTCCATATGCAGGTCCAACAAGTTTTTTTATTAAAAAAAATAAAAAAAAAACGAAAAAATCACAAAACAGGTCCATTCAGGTCCAAACCTAGACCGGACCTGATTTTTCAGGTCTAGCCCGGAACCGGACCTGTTAATTCAGGTCCGGTCCCCGGTCCTCATAATTACCCAATTCAGGTCCCCGGTCCAAACAGGTCCGGTCCAGGTCCGGTCCGGTTTTGGACCGGTGTACACCCCTACCTAGGATCTTGCTATTATTATGCTTTAACATGATTATCATAATTATTATAATTGTTTTATTATTATTATGATTATTATTATGTTCCTTGATGATTTTTATTGGTGTTGCTTGATCACACCTTTTATGCATGTTTAAAGGGAATTGGTACTTGTAATCACACTTAATAAGATAATTAATAATCTTGTTTAGGGTTAATATGATTATAATTCAAGTGATCACCAATAATAGTTTTATTTGTGCATTAATATTCAACCAACATAGATTAAACAGGTTTAGGGCTAAACTTATTGATTGCATGTTAGTTAGAAAGCTCACATGAATACGATCAGAATAAAGTAGAGGCCTATTATTAGAGCAGGTTCAATCTCTTTTAGGTTGGATTTGTACCTTCATCCCCGAACTACCAGTCATGGTTCCATACCTATTGGATTTAACGATCTCATGGATCGTTAAGGGGTGTAACCTTCACCCTGTGAACTTAACGATTTACAAGTTCCTACAACTTGTTCGCGACTCTTTTGCTCTATCTTCTTTCCCTTTGGACGCGACCATGCTTAAGTGTATGATCACAGTGGGGTTCGAGTTTGGGATAATGCTTCAAATATTCCCTACAGGACCAAATCAACTCTACTTTTTATTTAATTTAATTTTTTCAATTTGATTTATATTTTTTTATTGAAGTTACTAACAATTTAATCATGATGTAGCAATTTAAAAGAACGTGCGGAATGTGAGTAATTAACTAATTTAATTACTTATTTTATTTTTATATTGCTAGTATCATGATTAGGTTTATTTATTATTTGATTTGACTAACAATTTATTGTTAAATTGCTTCCAATATTAATGTTTATTCTATTAATATTTATTATCACCATATTGTATGTTTAAAGGGAATATGTAATTGAAAATCACGCCTAATAAGATAATTTGGACAACCGCTTTAGGTTCCTTTTTAATCTTGTTATTTAATCAATTGATCACAAATATTTTAGAATACGTTGCATTAATATTAAACCAATTTAGCTCAATAATAGTTTGGAGCAAATTGAATATTTTGTTTGCATGCCTTTGAGATCGCAGGAATCACTTTTCACTATAAGAATCGAGTAGAGGCCAATACGGGCGAATGTGACTCCATGACTCACTTCGTACCATCATCCCCGATCCTCCTTTCGTGGTTCCGAACCATATGGAGTTAGTAATCTCATGGATTATGAATGGGGTGTAACCTTCACGGGTCAATTGTTGTTGCCTTTCGTTGTCCCTTTATTCGTGGTTGCCTTTTATGATCCGTGAACGGTTTACAAGTTCTTTAAAAACTTGTTGGCGGCTCCCTACATTATTTGTCCCTAATCGAATACGTCAATTCCCACTTCCTATGAGTGTCAAGCATATTCACACATGCTTTAACGTAAGCGCACTTCAAATGACGCCTACAATTTGGCAACTCCACTGGGGAGGATTCTTGGTTATTTATCGATTTGAGTGATCGGTATTTAATTGAGATGAGTGGATGAGACTTGAAAGATTCTTGAATTGTATTCCTGCGATTTAATTGGCATTGTCACATATGCATATGGTTTTTAGGCTACCTATTTTGCCACAATAGTACGTGTTATACATATGTGGCTAGTCTAGGGGATTTATGCTTTATCAACCCGAAAACGCTCATGGAAATAAGGGTTCATCCGAGTTTTTAAATCTACCTGAACCATGGAGTCGAGTTCAATTTCATCACGAACTCGCGGAGCTGCCCGTTGGCATACACCCTCAAGGGAGGCTGCCTTGCTAACGCATCCAAACTCTTAACCATGGTACCCTTTGACACCCAAAAGCTTTACCATAGTGGAACATAGATCTTGACTTTAGGTTGCAAACTTCATTGCATCATGCTTAACGATGTGCTTATATGTACATTTTTTTATCGACTTTTTAAAAAAAAAAATTTCTCTTATCAAACCCTTTTTATTTTTTTTAGAATCGAGTCATAGATTTTTTATTTTTTAAAAAAAAAAAATTGTGTCAACCCGGATTTTTATCCTCGTATCCTGTACAAAAGTCAACTTGTTTTGGTCATAGCCGGAGTTCTAGAAAGAGTTATGTGTCGTACCACATATGGATCTGTAGCCCCGAGTTTTATCTTTCATTTGGAGTTGGTTTCGTCTCAATCAAAGTCACAGATCAAAAGGTATAACCGATATACTACAGCCTGTCCAGTTTAGGTGTCTTTTTAGCATCAACTTTCTTCTTTTTTTTTTTAATTTTTTTATATCTTTTCGTGTCAATCTAGTATTAGCCAAGTCCTTTAATCTTTGACAACTCATATAATATAGGATTATAGTTTTTTTTATTTATTTTTTTTGTACCCATGAGACTCATATAATATAGGATTATAGTTTTTTTTATTTATTTTTTTTTGTACCCATGAGTCTTAACTCTTCTAGAATTCTAGTCCTCTTCCTAGTTTCTTGTGATCGATTTTTGGGCTAACCTTAACATGTGAACTTTGTCTTTGATTGTGGTTGATCTTATTTATGATTAACGATTACCAATGGACTGTTTTCACCTAGTAAATAGCATAAACATTAAAATTGGACAAAATTAATCAAGTTAGTTTGTCTTTTAGTCTTCCAAGCTATTTGGTCATTGGGTCTTTTGTTTTTCACAACGTCCTCATGTCTAGCCGTGGTGATCATACCATGAGTCTTAATAAACTCACCTAATCACACATGTTGAGTCATTGCACACACTTTGTCTTCGAGTAATGCACTATATTGTTTATGATCGTATATTAGGCCCATGCATGCGTCGTTTTCCGTCGTAATAGGGTGAGTGGAGTTTTTCCCATCAGTTTTCAAAATTCTTTCATACACTCTTCCTTTCCAATCCGAGTACCAGGTGGCAAGAAGTAATTCATAAGAAACCATGAAGACGAAGCACAAGACAAGTTCCCATATAAGATTTCATGCTTTTTTTTTCTTTCGTTTCAACCCTTTTCCCATAATAAGTCTAGCTAGCATAGGTTCTCCTTATCCTTATGTCTATATGCCATGTTCCATCAATGAGAATTTCTTTTCTTTGCATTTGATCATGTCATTCGCCAAAAAAAAAAAAAGAAAAAAAAAATCAATTGCCGAACTAAACACAAGGTACACCAATGATTTGAGGCGCCTTTCTAACCCTGTCATTCCCTGTTAACCGTTCAATCATATTCCATTTCTTCATCAACCACTTTGAGCCTCATCTAACGTTTGGCCTTCATTTATTCAACCCACTTTCACTCAACCCTGGGATTGGAAGAAGTGTAATTGTATAACATTCAAAAAGCAAGTAAAAAAAAAAGGGCAGCAAAGCAACAATAAAACAATGTCTAAAGGCAAGTGTTCCAATGTATTTGATACGAACACGTCTCGAATTGCGTCTCTTATCGATTGCTTGGTACCGTACCTGAGAAACATGAATGCTAAGTGAGTGATGGACCGCATGATCTGAGATTGCCTACATTGATTCAAAAGAATGAAAAAAAAAACGAAATGCGAAAAGAAAAGAAAAAATGAAAATAAACTTGAAAAATTCAAAATTTTCAAATTCACAATTACACATCTTGGGGATACTCTCGGGTCTTGAGCCTTGTACCCTTTTCTTCTTTAAAACATTAACTTAACCATATTACAACCCTTGAAAGACCTCTTTGAGGTGTACATACACTTGTGCAAAGTTCGGCTAGAGCTACGTCGGCCTGATTCCTAACTGATACATAGGCAACCTCACATCAAGGTGCGGCCACATTCATATTCACATTTATATTCATCTCCGTGCTTGATTGAGTTAAAGAATATCCAATGCTTACCCCTATCCATCTAGAGCTAGACTTGGGGGCTTGAACCCATATCATTTAGCCTACCCAGCCTAAAGAGTCATCATCTTTGACTCTTCTCACATATATTTCCCCACCATAACCTTTGCAGCCAACCTTAGTATCACATTCACACACTTCACTCACACATCCATATCCATATCATCCTCCCTTTAAGAACCCTTTATCATGGAATCTTGTTTCAACACTATGCATGTTTCATCATCTTTCAGGACAACATTCATTAGAAGAAACGTTGTATACTTGCTTAGCTTCCTGACTTGAGCAATATTCATTGTTTCACGCATTGCATAATGTTCTTAGCAACATTTTTTAATCATACAAAGCATGTCGTGCTTAGCTCCTTCACCTAAGCAAGATTCATAATCACTTCATCTATATACGTGCTTAGCTTCAAGACCTAAGTGACGTTCAAGATCGTTTCTTTACACCATATATGATGCTTAGCTCCATGACCTAAGTTCATTCATCTATCATGTCACATGATGTGATTTTCCTTAGCATCCTGGCCTAAGGTCATGCATCATGCATACATTATTTTCAAGACGAGTAATTCAATCCGTATGATTCATTTCGTCTTGCTCAACAAGGAAGTTCAAAAATTCTTCCCTTTTTCATGTCTTTTCTTTTAAGGAAGTTCAAAAAACTTTTTCAAAATTTTCTCATCGAGGGAAGTTCAAAAACAAAACTTCATTTTTCACGTCTTTCTTTTTCGGGAGAAAGTCGGTACCCTCCACTAGTATCATGACAAAAATGATGGAAAATTTTTGCTTTTGCAATTTCGGTTGCTT